TCAAATAGGCAAACCAGTACACTACACGCTACACAAGAGAGCTAGTATAAGAGTACTATGGTAAGTGAATGGCACTGAAAACAATTTACGGTAACTCTTTGGAAATTATGACCAGGAACTTATTAAGTGAAAAAAGTAAGTTACCAAACAATCCTAGAGTTCCATTTTTATGAAAGCAGACACAGTCATATTTGAAGAGTAGGTTAATATTAGCAAAGATCATTCTAGATGACTGAAATTTGTAATAGGAAAATTAAATACTATTTTAAAAAACACATTGCTTTTGGGTTTTTTTGTTGTTGTTGTTTTTTGGTTTTTTTGGTACCGGGGATAGAACTCCGGTCCTTGTGCTTGCGAGGCAGGCAACGGAACCCACACTGCTTTTGAAGACATCCCTTTCAAACACATTCAATAAAGGTCTGAGACACAGTCATTTTTGTATGCTTCATTTTTTTTTTCTGGTACCGGGGATCAAACTCAGGTCCTTGTATTTGTGAGGCGGGTGCAGCGCCCCTGAGCTAAATCCCCAGCCCTTTGTATGCTTCAGTGTAATGCTCTATGCACAAAGGGCAGGCAAGAGACTTTGCTAAATGAATGGAATACAGAATGTGGGATTCACAAACAACCTATATCAGCAGCTTCAAATTATCAAATCCAAAACTTTTGGAGGACAATCAGGTTTGTTTCCCAAGTAATATTTTATTCATAACTTTAACAAACAAAAAGGGCTGGGCATGGTGGCACATGCCTGTAACCTCAGCACTCTGGGAGGCTGAGGCAGAAGGACTGCTTCGAGTTCGATGCCAGCCTGAGCTATATAGCAAGTTCAAGGCCAGCTTGAACTACACAGCGAGACCCTGTCTCAAAAAAACCAAAAAAACAAAAAACCCCAAACCAAACCACACACACACACACACACACACACACACACACACACACACACACACCTCAAAGAAGAAATGCAAGATTTAATGTGTATGAGCTGAAAAGTGGGGTAGGATGGGTAGAGGTGATATGAGGAAGAAATTTTACATTTTAAAAATTTTTTGAAGTAACATAACAAATACAAACATTTATACTGAATTCTCTCAGACTACAGCTGACTTATGCAATCTGTTATTTATACTTATTAAGTATCTATTATGGGTATATGAGCAAGATTCTGTGTGAATAAAATCAACATCAATATCTAGAGAAACTTACAGTATGACTTTACATACACATACTCTGTGACATACCAGTCCTATTATAAACTATACTAATCACACTATAAAACTCTAATAACTAAGCCAAATGTGTTCAGGGATGAGAAGAGACCAATAAACCAATGAAATAGAAATTCCAAAATTAAACTCATCTCTTAAGGAAATCTGGTTTGTAACAAAGACAGTATTTCAAAACAGCGGGGAAAGAATGAACCAACCACCTAGTAATCAGCACTGGGACAACGGGCTATTCAAACAGCAGAAATAGATTTCTACCAATACCATATGTATAAACACATTCTGGGTGAATGAAAGAGCTAAACATGGAAAAGAGAGGAAAACACTGGGTGTGCTGGCACATGCCTATAATCCCAGCACTTGGGAGGCTGAGGCAGGAGGATTGCCATGAGTTGAGGCCAGGCTGGAGTACACAGTGAGTTCAAGGCCAGCCTGAACTAATAGTGAGATCCTGTCTCAAAAAAAAAGAAAACAAGGGGCAGGGGATTTAGCTCAGTGGTTCTGCCGCCTGGCCTGCCTCTCCCCGGTACCAAAAAAAAAAGAAAAAAAGAAAAAAAGAAAACATAGGATATTTGATTAATTTTGATAAAAGGAAAGTCTTCTTCAACAAGACACAAAATGCAGAAGCCAAATGGAAAATAATGATAAATCTGAAATACTAATTTAAAAATTCTGTTCAATGAAAAAAGGAGACAAGGGCCAGGGATTTAGCTCAGTGGTTTCGATGCCTGCTGTGCAAGCGCAAGGATTGGAGTTCGATCCCTGGTACCAAAAAAAAACAAAAAAGAAAAAAGAAAAAAGGAGACAAACAATATATTTAGAACATTTACAACATGCATAACAGGCAAAGGATTGATATTAAAATATATAAAGAACACTCAGGGCCGGGGATTTAGCTCAGTGGTTTCGCCGTCTGCTGTGCAAGCGCAAGGACCCAAGTTTGATCCCTGGTACCAAAAAAAAAAACAACAAAAAAAAACACTCAGTAATAAGAAAAATAAACAATTCACTAGTGACCCAGGCAAAAATTAAGCAACTCATGAAAATGGACAAATATGAAAATGAAATGGATAAATAAGAGACTTGCAACTTCTCTAATAACAATAATACCAGCCAACATATAATGCTGACTAGACAGCAGAAGCTTTCCTAAATTGTTTAGATGTCTACTCACTCTCAGGTACTGCTGTTCTCCCATTTTACACAGGAGGCAATTGAGGAAATTAAGGCACAGCTCAGGGACATACAATAGGAATGTAGGGAGAGAATTCCAACATGGGGAGTAGCTCCTCAGTCCAATAAAGCTCTTTTTTTTTTTTTTTTTTGAAACAGAGTCTTGGTATGTAGTGCAGGCTGGGCTTAAACCCACTATGTATCTCAGCCTGGAACTTATGGAGATCCTCCTGCCTCAGTCCCCTGAGTGTTGGGATTATATTTGTGGCACCACTATGCCTGGTAGGTAAAGCTCTTAACTACTATTCTGTATCACCTCTCTGGGAGTGAGGGATGTGGGAAACAGATGAAAGACAGAGATCATTTGTTGTCCAAATTTGCAAAATTTGGAAATCGAATCTTGTCAACACTGTTGATGGGAGGATATAACGGTGCTTTCTGTAGTAATAAATGAGAAACTATTCTTTCATAAAAACCACTTACCCTGTAAAAGGTAGACAATAATCAGGTAGTTTCTCACCAACACTTTTTTTTTCATGAGTGTAGCCTCAAATCCTACAGTTTCTGCTTGCCTCTTCTCTTTCAATACTGGGGATTGAACATAGTAGAACTTTTGCATTGAGCTACTACCTCACCCCTTTTTTAGTTCTCACCAAGTTGCTTAGCTGCCCAGAATGGCTTGAACTTATGATCCTCCTGCCTCAGCCTCCCAGAGTGCTGGGATTACAGGCATGTGCCACTAGCCTGGCTCTCACTTCCTTCCTTATTAATTTGTCGTGCTCAGGATGGAAGCCTGGTACATGTAAGGCAAGTGCTCTGCCCCTGAGCTCCATCTGCCCTTTACCTCCCATGTTAACTTTTATGTGGCAGCTTCTCTTATGCTCCAGGATTTAGTCAGCTCAGGGCAGGGTTTCCAGAAAGACTGTTTCCTGGTGCACTAACATCATCACCGAATTGGTTAATTTACTTTTCCATGCAGTGGCTGGCACTGGTCTGTTTTCCACTGTTTTCCATATTAGTTCCTTAGCCTGTTTCTCAATAGGTTCAAGAACCAAGACTGAAGGTGAGAAGTACAAACTTTCCTTTTCTGTGTTCAAAAGCCATTTATTCAAAATATGTCTTGTTGCCAGGCGTGATCACACACGCCTGTAAGCCCAGTACTTGGGAGGCTGAGGCAGGAGCATTGCTTGGAGTTCAAGGCCAGCCTGGGCTACATGGCCAGACACTATCTCAAAAAACAAATCAAAAAAATTGTATACCTAAAACTTCATAGACTTTTTTTTTACATTGTGTTCTAAAGCTTACTGTGGTTTTTGACTACTGTGAAGCAATTACACTTCACAGGGGTGAAATGGGCATTGTGAAAACGCAATGAGTAGCTCAGAGAACAGGGCTTCACTAAACCTCCAGGGGAGATCCCTAAAGGGACAACTACATCTCCCGGAGAGAGGAATTTAAGAGTGTTCCCTACTCTTATGTACTCTAAGATGGGGTGTAAGAAGAGATTAAGGTCAGCTGGAGTATGTAAAATTGGAATACACAAGATTATATTTTTTGTTTACATTATTATTTTTTATGGTACTGGGGATCGAACCCAGGGCCTTTACACTGAGCTACACACAACCTCAACCCTTTTTATTTATTTTCTGAGAAAGGGTCTCACTAAGCTGCACAGGCTGAGCTTGAATTTGTCATCCTCACGCCTCAGCCTCCCAGAGTGCTGGGACTACAGGTGTGCACCACCAAGCCTGGCTCGTTTACATCTCACCTAAGCGACTAACACACATTGCTTTAAAACACAAAGCTTCCTTGTGGTTGCAAAAGTGGCACCACACCAGGCCTGAGGCAATGATTTCGTTATCCTATTATACCAGGTCCTCAATGCGAATAATTGCTGGACAGCTCCACCCTAGCAAGGCATGAACCACACAGCAACGCCGGACACCCAGGACCACCGGACACCCTGGACTACCGGACACCCTGGACCATCGATACCGTGCAAACCCACAGTACCTCAAGGCATGCCGCACGCAGCCAAGATTCTCATCTCGCAACAAAGCAGCGAGAAGCAGCGGTGCAATGGCTCCCAAAGGCCAAGAGAGTTAAATGAGGTCTTCCTCATCTTCTTCTACTACTTTCGCCTCGGAAGAAGCCACAAGTGAGGGCTTGAAGTTGTGCACACGGACGGGGGTGGAGTGGGGTGAGGGACCCGAGAGAGTTTAGCGCAGTGTGTGCATGTGTCCCACACAACGTCACTTGCGCCTCGGTGGGTTTCCCGCCAAAGACCGTCGAAGCTTCGAGGCCGGTCGCTGCGCCCCCGCTCCTGCCCCCGGGGGCCCGCCGGAGCCTAGAACCCAGCCGGCCTCGGGACCCAGGCTCCCGACGTCGGCGCCCCCGCAGCCGGTCTGGGGCTCGTCCCCCTCCCGGGGCTGTCAGCACCCCGTCCCCTCCTCCCGCCAAGCGCCCCTGCGTTGCCCCGCCCGGTCCCGAGTCCCGCGCCACACTCGGCTTCGTGCTCCCCCGGGCGCCCCCTCCCCGGCCGGGCTCCTCAGCGACCGCGGCCTCTCGAGTTCCCCCGGCCCCGACTCGCTCTCGGGCGGATACAGTTTGAAGCCTCTCAGGATCTCCCCGGCCCGCTCGTCCTTGGCTGACATGATGCGGCGGCCGCCGCCCGCGGCTCTTCCACGCTGGCTGGCGGAGCCTCGCGGATGGTACCCAGGAGCTGAGGACGGAACCCGAGCCGCAGCCGGGTCTGGAGACCTCGGGTTAGCAGTGAGAGAAGCCAGACCCGAACCGGCCTCTCCCTCTCCTCAGCTCCCGCTCCTGATCCCTTCTGCTTCCCTCTAGCCGGTGAGCGTCCGCCCTGAAGCCAATGGAAAGCCCTCTTCAGCGATTGACATACCTAGCAGCCAATAAAAATGCTCAGCGGCTTCGCAGGGGGACGGCGAGCGTCAATAGGAAAGGCCCTCCCCGAGAAGTCCCATAGGACAAAATTGTCATTCGGTGTTGTTGCCAAGAGTTCTCCCCAGCGGAGGGTTAGTTTAAGATCTGAAGAGGCTCGAGGGGCCTGCTCCCGCCGCTTGGGCACACTCGCCGTCTGAGAGGATGGGAGATTGCACTGTGCGAAGTAGTGGAGACTACATTTCCCAGCATTCCAAGGTCGCGCTGGGAATCGCAGATTTCAGCGCATCGCCCTGAGGCCGAGGACTACACATCCCAGGATGCCCCGCACCCGGCTCCTCTAACTTAGACACCAGTGTGCCGCGCCTTGTGCGCACATTCACTAGCCGGCCTACTGGGTCGGTGGCTTCTCGGTGTAGCCTTGGAACCGGGCGGAAAGACGCTCTTCTCCCTCAAGAGGAGATGACAGCCCACAGAGAATTAACTTCTGTTTACACGGAACTCAGAAGTCTCCTGCAAATCATGGTAAGGCTCCAAACAACAGACATTGACTAAACCGTGAAAGATAATAGAACGAAATGACTTTCTCAAATCCTGCTCGCTTGTAGCTCTGGAGCACCTTTTAAGTATTTTACAGGGGTTTCTGGTGTGTTCTTGCTTCCGACTGGGTGAGCAATTGATTGTATACTCAGAATAGCAATACAGGAAGGGACTTCAAAGAATTTGCTAATCCTATCCCTGTCGTTTTTACGTTTGAGGAAATTGAGACCCAAAGAGGTAAAGAGATTGGTCACAGATTACAGCAAGTTGGGGCAGAGTTGGGATTCGGCCCTGAGTTGGCTGGCTGGCCCGCGTTCTGGGCTCTGCACCAGGCTAGGAGGTGATATTTTTAGCAGCACGACAATGTGATTGTTACTGTCCTTGATAAACAGTCTTCCGATCCAGGGTTGAAAACACCCAAAGGTTAGGTGAGAATTGATCAGGTGGGTTTCTTTCAAGTGAGGAAGTATGCCATTTTTTTATCCTTCTTCTACATAGGACTTGGTGTTTTGACTTGTTCTTTCTTTGTCACAAGGTGACATCTCTTGTGATTTCAGGAAATAGGTAAAATTGGTGTAAGTCATGGTTTCCTTGGAGTCTTCTTACGTCCTCTTCCTGTCCTCATTTTCACCTACCTGGGCACCCACTCAATTTTTCTTTCATGTACATATTTCAACAAACAGGCTTTTGGCTTCTATTATTTGTCAGGGACTGAGTGGGTAGAGGGTGAAAGACACAGTTTCTGTCATTAGGAAGATAATCATCTATTTAGGGAAATGAGACTCCATTGAGATTCAAGATGGAGTGTGGTAAATGACAAAAGAAATGACATCAGAATGCCACGGTGGCCCTGATGGGGAGATTTATTTATTTTTGAGTCAGGGTCTCACTATGTAGTTCAGGCTGGCCTTGAACTTACTGTGTAGACCAGGCTGGCCTCAATTCATGGCGATCCTCCTGCCTCAGCCTCCTGAATGCTGGGACTATAGGCATGCACCACCACGCCTGGTTGATGGAGAGACTTATAATATAAAACGTTATGGAGGAAGTGGCATTTGAACTTGAAGGATGAGGAAGAGTTTTTTCTACATTAAAACATTTTTATCCTTAAATGTTTTTGTTAATGAGGTATAACATCCATGCAGGAAGGGAACAATTTCACATACATGTCTACACCCCGTCAACCACCTCCAAATCGAGAGAGAACATTTCCAGTGCTTATTGTGCCCTTTCCAGTCAGTACTGCATCCTCACATCTCAAGATAACCATTATTCTGACTTCATTGCTATTAGATCAGTTTTGTTTATACTTGAATTTCTCTTAAATGTAATCATATATGTGTACAGTACATGTTTGACCTTTCTATTTCATCAGTGTTTTTGTGAGATTCATCCATGTTGCACCTTTTTTGTTTCAATTATTGAGTAGCATCCCACTGTATGTATACACCACAGTTTTATCTGTTTTACTCTAGTGGGCATTTGGGTTGTTTTTTGGGGCAATTATTAATAAGGCTGCATGATTATTATTGCCAGTAGTAGTAGTAGTTGTAATAGTAGTATTTGGTGGTACTGAGGATTAAACTGAAGGCCTTTGCACCGTGCTACATCCACAGCTTGGTTTTAGTTTTTATTTTGAGACAAGGTCTCACTAAGTCACTGAGTTGCACAGGGTGGGTTTGAATTTGTGACTCTCCTGCTTAAGGCTTTAACAGTGCTAGGATTACAGACATGCCCTGCCACACCTGGCTAAGGCTGCATTATTACATGAGCCTTCGTGTATGTTTCTTTTTGTAGACATGTGCACACATTTCTAGAACAGTTGCAGGCTTGTAGGATATGCATATGATCATTAACAGTAGATAGTGCCAGTTTTCCAAAGTAAAATTTATGCCTTCACCAGCAATGTACAAGAGTCTAGTTGCCTTGTGTTCTTATCAACACAGGGTGTTTGTTGTGAGGTTTTTTTTTTTTGGTACGGGGACTTGAACTCAAGGCCTTAAGTTTGCCAGGCAGGCACTGTGCCGCTGAGCTACATCCCTGGTCCCTGTTGTCAGTTTTTAAATTTTTAGCCATTTGAGATAAAAGTAGTATTTCATTGTGGTATTTACATTTTTCTCATGCTGAGCACCTTTTCATATGCTTATTGCCAATTCCAACGACTTCTTTAGTGAGGTGCCAGATAAAAAGTCTTTTGTTCACTTTTAAAAACTGGGCTTTGGGCTGGAGATTTAGCTCAGTGGCACAGTGCCTACCTGGCAAGTGCAAGGTCCTGAGCTCAGTCCCTGGTACCAAAATAAATAAATTAATTAAAAACTGGGCTTTTGGCCTGGGATTTACCTCAGTGGTTTCGTCGCCTGCTGCGCAAGCGCAAGGACCTGAGTTTGATCCCTGGTACCAAAAAACCAAAACAAAACTGGGCTTTTAAAAAATTGATTGATAGTTCTTTATACAGTCTGGATGCAGAGTTCCTTGTCACATATATGCTTTCCAGTATCTCTTCCAAGGCTGTGGCTCTTTTCACATTCTTACTGGTGTCTTTGGAAACAGAAATTCTTGGGCCGAGGATTTAGCTCAGTGGTTTCGCTGCCTGCTGCGCAAGCGCAAGGACCTGAGTTCAATCCCCGGAAACAGAAATTCTTAATTTCAATGTAGGACAGTAGTTTATTATCTTCTTCTATGGCATGACACACTCTTTGCATTGAATATAAGAAATCTTTGGCTGTAGGGTTAGTGTGATTCTGACAGGCAAGCATGTGAACTCGAAGACAGCAGCATGGGCACAGGCTGCTGAGTGCAGCAGGCCTGCAGCTGGGCTGGGAGGAGGCACACTGCGAAGCCTGTGTTCAGTCACTGGGTAGGGACCAGGTTCTGGACAAAGCAGAGGCAGTGCTGGAATATTCATAAATTCAAACTGAACCCAGTTGTCTTCCACCCTCAAATTTGCCCCTCTGCCTCCACTCTGCTATTAAAACCACCTTCAGGCAGCCCTGGTCTCCGGAGCCTGATTGGGGTATCCTCCCTCCTCCTCCCTGCATTCAGCTCATCAGCGAGTCCCATAGACTCCACCATGTAAGGTCTCCAGCGATGTCTCCTCCTTTTCATCTCCAGCTGCCATTACTTACCTCTGTTCCGTGGAACAAATCATCACCTCAAGTTTTGCTCTCTCCATCCGGTTCTGTCCACATGCATCAGTGTATGGTGCACAGTGCCAACTTTGATACAGTGGTCATTATGCCCTTTTCTTCCAGTTTTTGTTTGAAAAATGGCTGTGTTCATTCCCAAGCTATTCTCTTCTGTGCTTCCAGAGTAGTATTATATTTCTCTCCTGCACTTAGCATCCTGGAGCCTTCTGAGGGCAAGAACCTTATTGTATCTTCATACAACCTTCTTTCTAGAAGGCGCTAAAGAAAATGTTTGCATAAATGAATAAGAGGTTGGTGCTAGGCTCCTTACTAGCTGTCCTGATTTCTGCACCCTAATGCGAAATAGATAAATAAGGCTCTTTCCTGTGGCTTATACGCTAAAGGAAATAGTTTAAGTATTCAATTATGTAGTATTTGTTAATTATCTTCCCAGTGGAGTTGGTAGTAACCAAATGCAATACCACGGATGTCATTTTGGTTACAGAACCAAACGTTTGCCCAAGCCATCTCCAATTTATTTGAAAATATGTTCTGATACCCAGGTGTAGCGACGCACACCTGTGATCCTAGCACTCGGGAGACTGAGGCAAGAGAATGATCAGCTGAAGCAGGAGGATCACTGAGAACTCCTGGCCAGCCTGGACTAAGTAGTTAAAAACAAATTTTTTTTTTTTTTCTGAATAGGGGTTAAGAACATGGCTATTGGCTTCAGATAGCCAGGATTACAAAGTGAGCCTTGATTAGGGTAAGGGTTGGAGGCTGGGGCTTTTAGGCTTGCTTAGCACCCCCAGAACAATGGGCATACAGGCGGCCATAGTGTTGGGAGAACTCAGCGAGATATTTGTACACATCTGCCACACGGAAAAATGCTCACCAAACGCTCGACAGTGATTTTTAAGGAGCGCGAAGCACAACCAAGGGATGTTGACGGCGGCGGGCGAGGGTTTGGGCCCCCGGTGTCCACCAGACAGCCCCTTTCCTGCTGCAGCTGGGCCGCGATCCTCTTCTCCCGCCCGCGCCCCGAGCGAGGTCAGCGGCAGTCATCGCGGCGGGGGGAACCTTGTATGGGCGGAACTCGAGTGCAGTGGCGGGAGGCTTCCGGGGGAGCCGTACGGGCGACGGGTCGGCGGAGACAGAAAAGCGCCGGACGCCGGGCCGATCATGGACGCTTGACAACCTGCGGGCGGGCGCTGGGAGGCCGAGCCAGCGACTAAAAGGACGGAGAGGCGGCGCGGACAGGTAGGGGCTGGCGAGAGGCCGGGCCCTGCGCGGGCCAACGCCAGGCTCAGCCGGGCCTCCGGCTTCTCCCGCAGCTGGGAAAGCCAGCGGCCACGCCGCCCCGCCCCCGCCCCGGGGAGCGCGCCCCGCGCTCCACGCCCCCCGCCCCCGGCCCAGCTCCAGCCCTCGCCAGCTCCGACGCCCGCCGCGGCTGGCGACCCTCGGCTTGCGCGTTGCGGCCGTCCTCGCAGGCCCCTACCCTGGGCTGCCCCTTTGCCCTCCCGGCCCATCAAACTAGCGCCCTCCCCTGTCGGGAATTCGTCTCCGCGGGGTCCCTCGCCGCCGCCTCCTCGGGCCTCCCACTCCTGGGAAGACGGTCGCCGGTGTCCACGCTCTGTCTCTACAGACTTTGCTCTCTCGGTTGAGATCTTTCGGAGGCGCCGAAGTTTCTCCCCATCTCCCTCCTGGCCACCCCTGGCATCTTCCATTTAGTCCGCTGGCCGAGATCCCCATCTGTCTGTTCACGAGTACCCTCGGAAGGGCAGTTTTTGTTCCTTCTTTCCTAACCTTCACTGTCTGCTTTTCTCTCCTCCCCTTCCCCAATCCTTCCTTTCGTTCTGTCACCCTCTCTTCCTTCCCTTTCTTCTTCCTCAGAAGCCTTTGTTCCTTTGCACTTCTCTCTTTCTGACAAGACCTTCGTGAGAAATGTAAGTCAGGCAACACTTTATTAGCGAGGAACAGTTCCTATTACGTGTACCAGACTCTTCAGGAAACCTTAGTTTCTCTTGCGCCAAACTATCCTTTGAATTGTCCTTTGCTGGACTCTGCTATACAAACCTTTCTGTCATTTTGTCACACTTCCCAGTGTCTCATTCGGGGAGGACAGGTCTTCTCTTATGTAGAACTTGGACAGAGTAGGTATTCTGTGTGCCCACACCAGCAGTGAGATCACAGTCGTACCTAAGGGCCTGGAGATGGTGGTACAGTATCTGCATTGTTTCCCCAGATCCTGTTGTTAGGGTTTTGTACAAGTTCAGAAGTCCTGTTTGGTAAATATCACCTATCAGTAGGAGGCCAAATAAAGGGTTTTCCCTCCATAGACTTACAACAGCGTTATTTTCTAAGTTTGAATTCGTTGTTGCTTATCTTTCATAATAGGTTTCTCCCCATTTCCTATGATTAAATGACTCCCCCCAACCCAGGGCCTTGTGGATGCTAAGCTGATGCTCTACCACATCCCAGCCCTTAAATAACTTCCTTGATTAAGTGAAGCATGGTACTTGTCTGTTTTTGTATTTTATCTGTGCCTGCCTGTAGATGGGATCCTGATGACGCATGGGAAGCTGAAACGAATGGCCTCTTAACCAGAGCCTGTAAATCAGGTGGATGTAAAACATCTAGGGAGAGCTGGGTCTAGTGGCCCACATCTGTAATCCCAGCACTAGGAAGGAGGATTGCTTTGAGTTTGAGGCCATCCTGGGTCACACAGTGAGTTCAAGGCCAGCCTGATCTACATAGGGAGACCTTGTCTCAAAATAAATAAATAAATAAATAAATAAATAGATAGATAAGGAGAAACTCCCATGTGTTAGTTTCTGTCCTGGTCTACTTTTTTTGTACAGAGGATTGAACTCAGGACCTCGAGCTTGCCAGGCAGGCATTGTGCTGCTGAGCTACATCTCTGGCCCCTGGTCCACTTTAATGCCTCTGAGAGAGGGACGGATGAGGAAATGACTTTTACAAGTGTGTTTCAAACCTCAGAATTGAGGACAAGATCCAGGTTGAACTCTTCCATCCCACACAATGGTTATTCCATTTGGACTCAGTTGCTGTTTTATCTTTATGAACACTATAAAACTAAAAGTATTCTGGCACTGGTTGTGATTGTGCATGCCTAGACTCCCAGCAACATGGAATGGAAAATTTGAGGTCACGCTGGGAAACTTAGTGAGCTGCTGTCCCAAAATAAAATAAGGGATGGGTTGCAGCTCAGTGATAGAAATGCTTGCCTAAGATGCATGAAGCTCTGGGTTCAATCCCTTGGACTGGGGAAAAAACGTATTCTGGTGTCTGATTCAGTATTAAGTAAATATGGACTTTGGTCTTCCTTTTTTTATTTTTCCTGAGACAAGGTCTCGCTATGTAGTTCAGCCTGGCCTTGAACTCACCATGTAGCCCAGGCTGGCCCTGAACTCTGAGGCAATCCTCCTGCCTCAGCCTCCTGAGTGCTGGGATTACAGTTGTGCACCACCATGCCTAGCAATATGGACTTTGGAAAAGAAGAGGGAGAGGGCCGGGGATTTAGCTCAGCAGCACCACACCTGCCTTTCAAGCACAAGGTCCTGAGTTCGATCCCCGGTACAAAAAAAAAAAGAAGCAGGAGAATGACTGACACTCTTTTCTTCTGGACAGATCTCAAAGCCAGAGAATGGCAGGTGAACAAAAACCTTCAAGTAACCTCCTGGAACAGTTTATTTTACTAGCCAAAGGTACCAGTGGGTCAGCCCTTACTGCTCTCATAAGCCAGGTGTTGGAGGCTCCTGGAGTGTACGTCTTTGGAGAACTACTGGAGCTGGCCAATGTTCAGGAGGTAAGAGTGGCTTCCAGAGAATTCCTCTTTGGCCTAAGGCTTTCGGTGATTCTCCAGACTTACAAGGGTTCCAGTGTGGAAGTGTTGTGGACTTGTGAGATACCCTGTTTAGAGAGGGATGCCAGGTAAGGGCCAGGGATGTAGCTCAGTGGTTCCGGTGCCTGCCTCGCAAGCGCAAGGTCCTGAGTTTGATCCCCGGTACCACCTCCCCCAAAAAAAAGAGAGAGAGAGAGAGAGGGATGCTAGGTAGTGGGGCAGGGGAGGTGGTTGAGGATGGCATCTAGGGCTCATTTCATTCAGTATTTTCCCCTGAACTTGGGTAAAATTTGATCAGGTTGCTAGTTATCTGAAAGATAGTAAAAAAGTTGAAATGGTCCTGATCAATTAGAATAATGCTGTAAATATGGGCTGATATTTAATAGGAGTAGTTTCAGGAATTCTGAGGGACAGAAAACCTCCAGTGCAATATGAACAAGATTGGTCAGGGACACACATAGCGGAAATTGTGGCTGTTGAACATGAGATGGGCATGAATAGGAAAATATCGTCCTCTGGAAAAGGGCAGTGTTGTACTAAAATAGATGTGGTAAAAAGGCAAGACACGTAAAGCAAGGAAGGAGTTCATTTTGCTTTGTTGGCTTGATTGTTGTGTCCAGTTTTGGTCTCTGCCTCAAACATGAGACCTGTTAACGATGACCAGATGGACGGCAATGGGGGGAATGCGCCTTGTACTTCTCACCCTTGACACTTGCTTGGTTACTGATCTGTTTGAAAAGAGTGCAGTCATCTTTGTGCTGGCGGGAGCTTTGCTCTGAGGAAGCCTTTGGGTACTCTTGGTGTGTTGGTGGGGTAGTTCACTCTCTGCTGTCACAGGCTGCTGGCTGCGCAGGGTGGCATTGGCCGTGTGGGTGGCTGTCTTGCACAGAACCAGGCCTTGGTGCTTCCTGCGGGTTGTACGCCAGATGCTGCTGAACGGGGCTCTTGTGCTCTTGGTGGTGGTGTGCATGTGGGGGGTGGCTTGCTCCTGCTGGGTGGTTTATCACCTTCACGGCCATGGCGATTCCTCTCCTGCTGGCTGCCAGCTCCACTCCTGCAGCCAGTTGTGACCTTCAGTTTATGGGCTCAGTGCTGTCTATCTGCTTCCTCTTGGTCAGGAGACTGGAGCAGTTCCCTGCCACCGTCCCCACATATCTCCTCTTCCTCTGATGGCCAGAGGTGGAGGGAGAGCCACATTCGTTGTTCAGTTGTAAATTTTTGTTTAATAGGGCCGGGGATTTAGCTCAGTGGTTTTGCTGCCTGCTGTGCAAGCGCAAGGACCTGAGTTCGATCCTCAGTACCAAAAAAAAATTTTTTTTAATTTAATGCCAGTCTTGCTTGCTACCCCATGAGCTGTGCAGGCTCCAGGCACCTTGGAGCTGAATACATACAGTAGACTTTCAGTAAAAATTTAATTTACCAGAGATAGAAAATGAATCCTTTGAGGAAGATTTCAGAGTACTGGGCCCAGTTTCCAACTGAGATGGAGATAGATGGCCAAGGGGTTATATTTTCTTTCAGGTTCATGAAAAGCCCAGATAGAGGTCAAATAGTTGTTTTGTAACTGACAGACTGGCTACGAGGAAATGGATGAAAATTAAAGCAAAAAAAAAAAAATTAAAGTAAGCAAGACCTTATTAACTTTAGGCCAGCGGGTGCATCTTGAACTATCAGCTCTAGAGAACATAAGCTGTTTCATTTAGTTTTATAATTGTCTGAAAAGTGGGGGCTAGGTTTGGTGGTCTTTACCAGGCCTTTTGCAACTCTTATTTTGGGACTTTAGGAGGTGCATGGTAACCTGTGAAGGCATTCTCACCAGGGTCCTTAGTAGGTCACTTTTCTCTCCCCACAGTTCATGTTTTTCCATTTGGGATCTGGGAATAAGGTAGTTGCCTTTCAGTAGTCTGAAATTATGGAGACAGTTCTTTTTTTTTCTCCCCCAAATGGCTCCAGTCAGATAGTATTGCTTTTGGTATCTGGCAAACAGCACTGTTACTGGAGTTTTGACTGTGCTGCACTTGGCAAGTTGGAAGAGTAACAGGCTGTCATTGTGGTGGAGGGAGGCACCCTGCTAACGTAACTGACCGCAGAGCAAAGCAGTTCCAGGTGGAACAGTGGCTGTCTCGTTTTTCTTCTACAGATGGCTCTTTGCCGTCAGCATCAGTGAAGAGTAAGTAATTTTATTGAAAATGTTTATTTGGGGCAGCCCCATATCCAGCTGGGCTTCTCTGTCACCCGTGAGCTCTGTCAGTCACTTCCTGGATTCATAGTCCACGTGTAGTCCTGAAACTTGGAACTGACCCTAAGCTTCTCAGGTTAGGCTGATGGTGGTTATCAGCCTCTTGAGCTGTGGTGTGGACAGGGTGCTCCAGTCTCTGTTTTAATGCACAGGGAATCCTGAGAAAATTTGAACTGCTTCCAGCTTAGTGCTGTGTGTGTGTGAAAGAGAAAAATCTGCAAGTAGTGTAAAACATCTTGAGGAAGAAAGGTTCAACTTGGGGCTTTAGTAATTTTGTTTTCCCCCAAAGAATCAGAGTTGGAAGGGGCCTCAGGGGCCACTGAATCAAACAGTGCCACAGGAGTGCCCATCCATCTTCGGCACAGTCACCCAGCCTCTGTTGGACACTGTGATGATCGTGAGACAGCTCGCTCTCCAGTGAACTTTGTTTTTCCTCCTCAGCTTGCAGAAGGAGCTAACGCTGCTTATTTGCAGTTGCTGAACCTGTTTGCCTATGGAACATACCCGGACTACATAGGTGAGTTGGTTAAGATCCTTCAAAAGATTTGTCTTGACTACATCCTCTGTTTGGAGAAGCACTGAGGGCTGAGATGTAAAGTGTGTGTGTTGGGACCTTCCTGACTTGGCTTTCTTACTCTGCTGAACCCTGTCGGTGACCTCACAAAAGGACTTTCCCTTCTCACCTTTATTTCCTGTTTGGTACAATGAGCTCATCCACAAATAGAGCCCTTGGGTGTTTTCCAGGTGGAATTATTGAGAACTGGAGTTTGTAAGGCACTTGGAGTGCTTTGACTTGGTGTCAGGATGCCTGTTGTAAAATATTTCAACACCTTGAATGTTATCAAAATAATATCACCATATTGAAGAAAATTTGAAAAACATAAAGTCACTCATAGTTGTAACTTCATTAAATTAGCATTATGATGCTAGACTTCTTCCCCTTTTGCTGTGTTTTCCACCAGATCAATTTCAGCACTGTGCATAAGAAACAACAATTTAGATTTAGCTTTTTGGAATCCAGAGTTAGAGTTAGGAGATGAAGACATTTGGAGTGTGTCTCTCGGATTGTTACAAAGGTTAACTAGATGTGTGTCCGTGTGCGTGGTCCATGGGCTGCGTCATCTGCCGCCATTGCCCTTGCTGCTGCTGTGATCAATACTGTTGTTACTAAGGTTTTGCTCATCCCAAACTCCATTTCTGCCCTGAAGCCTTTCTTTTATCTGTACCTCCCAAGTGAAGTTGTGCTTGCTTCCTTCTCTCTGTCCTCTTCCCTTTCTTCCCTTCTTGTCTTCCCTTTCCTTTCCCTTTTCCTCTGGCAGTTTGTACCTTTCCTCTGATAGTTCTGCCTTTCACTGGTAGCTGTTGAAACGTCTGATTGGAAGAGTGGGGACAGTTCTGGGACTGTTGAGTTGCATGGCTCCAGGCAGGTGGTGCCCTGGAGGTGTGTGGCACCGCAGTCCGAGAGGCTTGTCTTACTCACCCTTGATTCCCCCAAGGACAGTGCGAGGCATGGGACAAATGCTTGATGAAGATGTGTTCCTTGAGTGCCACAGGGGCATGAGCAGTGTCCCCTTAAGATAACTGCCACCCCACGGTGTTCGTGCGAGCCTGGCTTCTCAAGACACTAAACCCCTTGTGTGGAGAGACCGAGTCCGTTCTTTTGGAGGCCTATGACCTCCCAGAGGAGACCGGAAGTGCTCATGCAGTGCTTGCCTAGTGAACACGTTCAGTTATGACATTGATTTAGTAGGAGACTTGGCTGGGAAGTGATGAATTTATTCCATTAAAGAAACCCTAATTTTATTTTATGTCTTGATTTTTGTGGTGGGTGGGACCGAGCAGCCAACAAGGAGAGCCTGCCAGAACTGAGCACAGCCCAGCAGAACAAGCTGAAACACCTCACCATCGTGAGCTTGGCATCAAGAATGAAGGTACGGTCCTGCCCTCGCCTGTCTTCTTGCGTACCCGGAGTCAGGTGTTTCGATGGCATCGATGGGGGAGCTCTCAGCCACACACAGTGGCATCCTAAATGCATAAAATGTACTTGGCAAAGGAAAAGAGAGAAAGGGATGAGAGTAAGGATGACAGTTACGATGGGGAGGACAGTTAAAACGGGGCAGTGAGTTACTCCTGTTTGTTCAGGGACAGCAGGGCTGACAGAGCAGTGGGTCTCTGTGCTGGCAGCCATGGGCCGCAAGTCAGGTGGGCATTCTGTCATGTTAGGGCAGGGCGCTGCTTAATGGTGCATACATTTCAAACAGCAAGGCATCCTGTGGTAAGCCAACAACTTCCTCTGTCAGCACACAGTGGACTGTGCCCATGCTGGAGGAAAACTGGTAGATTGGACTTCCTGAGAGGACTGCTGGGGATTGAACCTAGGCCCTGCATGTGTTAGACAAACACTCTGCCAAAGAGCCACACTCTTTGCCCAGAGTGGTAGATTTTTTTGTTTCTGTTTTTGTACTGGGGATTGAACTCCGGTCCTTGTGCAGGCGGCAGAACCACTGAGCTGAATCCCCGGCCAAGAGGTAGATTTTTAATACACTGCTTCTGGGATTTTCAAGGTTCATGACACTAAGGGGAAATCTTGCCTCACGTGCTGACTTGATGCCCTGCCCTCCTGTCGGATCCACTCACTCCGCCGTTTCCCCGAGTGCTCTGACCCAGCTGATTTAGAAGAAGTGCTCTGACCCAGCTGCCTGGCAGGCAGCTCCCAGACTAGGTTAGCTTACAGTGACTGGCTCTCTGCTCGGCCTAGCCTGTGTGTGAGTGCTGGTGGTTTGCATTCCCCTCCATGATAGAGCTTGAGAGAAGTGTATTTGTTCTTGGATTGCCCTGTCACTTGCTAAATGATTTTAATTTAATCACAGGCTCCTGATTCTTGCTCAGCATCTCAGGTAGGAGTCTTGTTCTTTTGGTAGTGGTGAGGGATTGAACTTAGGGCCTCATGCATTTGAGGCAGGCACTTCAGCATTGAGCTGCACCCAGCCCATTTTGTTGGGAAGTGAGGACCTGACTGCTTCTCTCGTCCTGGTCATGGACTTCTCCAGTGCGGTGAGAGTAGGATGAATTTTTTCTCCTTTCTGCAGGTTGTCATTGTAAGCTCCCCTCCCCCAGCATGTCTTTAGTCATAGAAAAACCCTTTTGGTGCCTTTGCTGTGTCTTTTTCTGTGTGGATCTTCCCCTTGTCTGTTTCTACAGATTTGATCACTGTTTATTTCCAAACTAGTAGTGCTATGTCAGGTGATTTGCAGAAAGTTGGATGTTCAGATGTCCTATTGTCGTGGAATCATTCAGACCGGTACCACAGCCCGGTACAGGACATTGCTGGGGAGTCGGTGTTGTGGCAGGAGTCTGAGGAAACAGTGTGGCCTTGAAAACAATCTCCGCGCTGGCTGTCCCCACTGGCCGCCTATAGGAGGATGCATTGGCCTGCAAGATTTTTTTTTTTTTTTCTGGTACCAGGGATCAAACTCAGGACAGTGCGCTTATGAGGAAGGTGCGGCACCACTGAGCTAAATCCGCGCCACTGAGCTAAATCCCCGGTCCAGCCTGCAAGGTTTTTTGCTAACGTTCTCCTGGGCAAGTAGCCAGTGCCTGGGTTTATTGGAGGTTTGTGATAATCTGGCATTTTGTGCAATCTACAGACTTCCAAAAGGTGGCAGAGTGGCACATACCAAGTAGTTCTCTTTCCTCCAGCAGGTGTCTAGGATCTGTAAGAGCATGCCTCAGGGCGTGAGAGCCCTTGGCTGGGAAAAGTCCCCAGTGTAGAGAACCAGGAGGGCACTTCTGGGGTGCTGGGGGGGTCTTGTTTGGGTCTCACAGGTCCTGTGTTCACTTCTCTGCCCCCTGGAGCACTAGACCCTGGGTGTCCTACCTTGGCCCAGCTTGGGCCGCACCGAGTGAAGAATTGTCTCAAGCTGCATGTGAAATCACAGGATTGTATGAATGGGCTATACACAGTATATATTCCTTGTATACATAGTTTCTATATGTGTAACATCTTTTTAAAATATTTTAACCTAAAAAAGAAATAATATAAGTTCAAGTTTCATGAAATGAGAAAACTTACATGTCTGCTTAATAACAAAAAATACCTGTCTTCACAGCACATACACGTGTAGGCAGGTTAAAATACTATTTTTGGGCCAGGGATTTAGCTCAGTGGTTCCACCACCTGCCTCGCAAGCGCAAGGTCCCGAGTTCGATCCTTGGTTCCAAAAAAAAAAATACTGTTTTTGGTGATTGCTGCATTTTACTCTTTGTGTTGCACAAGTGCACCTACTATCTGCTATGCGAGGGTTTCACTTCACTGACCATGTGGTGGGTGCGGGAGGCGGAGTCAGCAGTGTGCTGTGCCTTCCCCTGCGCAGTCCGTGCTGGAGTGCCCTGCATCAAGTCATGAAAACTACTGCCAAAGTCACATAAGTTAGAACTTTGGTGTCTAGCCTGGTCATGGTAGCACTCACAGTAATCCCAGCCTGGACCACATAGCAAGACCCTGTGTCAGCCTCCCCATCCCCCACTAAAATGTTTAAGATCTCCAGTGGCTGCATTACCAGCTGTACGGGCTGCAGGTTGGAGATTCCTGCCCTAACGTTCACAGTTACCCTGGCCTGCACTGCCTGAGCCCAGAGGCAGCTATTGGCTCTGGGTCATAGCTGTATTTTCATGAATGCTCGCCAGTTGCCTTTCCTAACTAGCATGTGGCCTTCTCTGCAGTGTATCCCCTACTCTGTGCTGCTGAAGGACCTGGAGATGAGGAATCTCCGGGAACTAGAAGACCTTATCATCGAGGCCGTCTACACTGACATCATCCAGGGCAAACTGGACCAGCGAAACCAGCTGTTAGAAGTGGATTTCTGCATTGGCCGTGACATCCGAAAGAAGGATATCAATAACATTGTGAAGACCTTGCATGAATGGTGAGGCTGGAGGAGGAGGGTATGGCTAGCGTGGCCCACGTGGTCTCCAGAGGCCATCGGAGGCACTGGGGCTCTGCTGGGGCCTTAGGACAGGGAGCCAGAGTGAACTTCAATTGTGATTACAGCTGTGTGGGCAGCAACAGCGGTCATTCTTCCTGCCTTGACTATAAATTTGTTCTTGCCTTAAATGGAGTAGGGGCTGTTTAACAGTGGGCCATAAAATACCCAGGCTCAGCAGGTGGGCTGTGCATCCCAGCTGATCCTGTGCTTTCTAAATGTAGGCACAACATTTGGCCATACTCAGGAAGTAAATGTTTGGAAGGTTCTTTGGATAAGAACCATGTTCAGTCAGCAACGTATCAGGCTGGGTTTGTAACACACCGTGGGGGATCTTGGAGACTGGGACTGGGTTATTGTTACTTGGGACATAGACTCACACGTGAGTATTTGATAACTGTAGTCTGCCGTATGCAAGGAATTGGGACATTTGGGTGTACTGTCTTTTAATGACATTTGATATTTGCAAGGGCTTATTATGGAACTATTTAAATGATTTGCGCCTAATAAAGCTAGTTGGACTTAGAAAAGTTGTAGTGAGATCTGAAAGGGGGTTGGGGGGTTATAATCGCAGATGCAGAGTACGTTCCTAGGCAGGTGCAGAGCAGCCAGCTTTGTGCAGAGGGGTAGGGAAGTTGTTTTCTTCCAGACAAACTGGGTGTCTGGTGTGGTTCCAAGTGGAGAGTCCAGGGATGAAGGCCCCAGCGTTTGTACCCTGGAACCTGATGCCCCTGACACCTCACTTAGGCTTCTCAGACCCCAGGGCATGTGCTGCCCATCTAGTATCTCAAATTCTGCCCCAAGCATGGCTCCAAATACTTTCAATGTGTGACAAAAGCAGAAGCTTTCAACGGATTGCTAAGCTATTAAATCAGAATGAACTTAGGAAATATCTCTAACACGGAAATGTCTGATACATAGAATCTAATGTCTGGTGCTACTACAGTTGTTTGTCCTAGCGCCCTTGCTCTCTCTCTCTGTCTCTCTCTCTCTCCCCCTTCCTCTCCCTCCTCTTGCCTTCTCTCTCTCTTACCTTCTCTTTCTTTTTCTCTCATGTGTTGAGGATTGAACCCAGGGCCAGGCACTCTACCACTGAGCTACATTCTCAGCCATTTATTTCTTTATTTTTATTCTTTTGAGACAGGGTCTCGCTATGTAGCCCAGGCTGGCCTTGAGCTTGCAGTGATCCTCCTGCCTCAGCCTCCCAAATGCTGGGATTACAGGCCTGTGCCATCACACCTGGCCTCCCTTTTTTTTTTAAAGACAAGATCTTGCTGAGTTGTCCAGGCAGGCTCAAACTTGGGATCCTCCTGCCTCAGCCACCCTCAGTGCTGAGATTACATGCTTACACTGCTGCTCACAGCTCTTTTTTATTTTTAATTTTAAAAATAAAAAGCGAGGAAAATAAAAATGAGTATGGCCGGCCAGGGATTTGGCTCAGTGGTGCTGCCAACTACCTCACAAGGGCAAGATCCTGAGTTTGATCCCTGGTACCAAAAAAACAATGAGTATGGCAATTAGAATGTATCCTCAACTTCTGAGAAAATAGGCAATCTCCAAAATAGGATGCTTTTGGGAAATATGTTTTTCTAGTGAGGAAAACAATGATAAGTGCCACCTGTAGTCTCTCCCACCTCCTTCCACCCTACATTCTCTTCTGTAAAACCGTTGTCCCTGGGCTGCAGAGGTTGGAAGTTCGAGCCTTATTCCAAGAAGCTGCCCACCAAGCACCATTTGTCCCCACAGGTCCGGCACTCTGTCTAGACAGGCTTGTCATCTGGAAGGAGGGCAGGAGCGAGGGCTGAGGGTTTAAGGGATGGCCCGTAAGGTGCGGGGAGGGCTGAGGGGGTGCGGTGCCCGCACTGGGGCAAAGCTCTGGGTCTCTCCGAGGCTCAGGGCTGGTTTTCTGTGTTGCAGGTGCGATGGCTGTGAAGCGGTCCTGCTAGGCATCGAGCAGCAGGTTCTGAGAGCCAACCAGTACAAAGAGAACCACCACCGCACGCAGCAGCAGGTGGAGGCAGAGGTGAGGAAGGGGTGCCACGTGCCTCTCTGGGTGCTCCTGGCTGTGCCTTTGCAGTGGTTTTTGTTTTTGTCACACGAGTCTTGGTGTGGCTGAGCCACGTGGATCCAGATAGGCATCAGGCTCGGTGTGGATAGAGGGGTCTGCAGGCTGCAGCTGCTGCCCTTGGTCCTCTCTGTCTCCCTTCGGATTCCTGCTTAGCAGAGGGCAAGCAGGTTGGGTTGCAGAGCAGGTTGTAATTCCTCAGTTCCCATGCACTCTGCACCTGAGGAGAGAGAGAAGATGAATTTGAAGATGGGCCTTCAAAAAGGATAGACGTGGGGCTGATGGTGTAGCTCAGTGGTAGAGCGCTTGTTTACATGCAGGAGGCCCTGGGTTCCCACCCACCACTGTGCGTGCACGCGCACACAGCTGAGTGGAAGGAGGGTGCAGGTGACAGTGCACACGGACTTCAAGGCCCTGGTAAAGCTGTGCTGCTTACGTGGATGGTAGGTGCTTAGTGCTGCTTTTGTTCTTCTCCAAATTGTGTGTATATGTATTATAACCTTTGTAAACGCATGATGTTTCATGTAAGAAGAGAAAAGGCCAGTGGAAGAAATGAAGAGAAGAGGATGTGAGTTTGGTTTCCATGGCCCTTGGTGGTTCTCACCATCAGAAGCCCTCTTCTAGTATGCTGGGCTCGAGGGGTTTCGGGTATTGGTGCCCCGGGGTGTGGCAGAGAGGCCGGAATCCCAGGTAAGGACTACCAGAAAGGAGAAGCTGTGCCTTTCGAGAGGGATTTGTGAGAGTTTAAGTCAAACCTGTCTCTTATTTTTCTTTGTGAGGCCAGCTGCAGGCCCTGTGCTCAGCCTGTTGGAGGTGCTCAGATTGGCACAGGCCGCTTCTGTGGACCTCTCTGTGCCGCCCCCATGTATAGATGCTGCGTGGCCTCACACTTAGGGTCCGTTTTCCCTTCTGGCCAGGAAGGAGGAGCTGCATGCAGCATGAGCAAAGGCAGAGATAGCTGGGAAAGGGAGCTCCCTGCTCCTCAGGGAGCTGTGCAGCCCTTCCTGGGGATGGCCACCCAGCTCAGGCTGGAGGGCCAAGCAAATGGGGAGGGCTGACAGCTCTCCGTTCTGTTTATTCCCCGGAGAACACCAGGGAAAGCAGGCTGGTTAGAGGAAGCCAGTGTAAAGCCTCCTTCCCAGCTGGGGGCGCAGAGCAGCCTGGTCACTGCCCGGGTGCTGTCATGCTGGACTGTGCTGACTGTGGCAGGTGAGAGAGGGGTTGTTGGCACCACCGGGGTCCTGAGCAAAGATGAACAGTACAGTTTGAATTGTTCACATTGCTTTGGGTGACAAATGACATCTGACAAAAGAAAGGCAGATGTGCATGGAGTTACTGCAGGCACTTGGCTGCTGCTTATCGCAGGGTGGACTCTAAATCCTGGCTTTTAAGACCGAGCCAGCTGCTGCATGTCTGCTATGGGTGCCTGTGGAAAATGGGCCCTCCTCTGCCGGCGGAGCCTGATGGTGCCACCAGGTGGCGCTAAGGCCTTACTTTGAGAAAAAATTTTGAGGAAAAGGTCAAGGCTGCCTTCCCCACCATGAGGATCATCTCTAGACTGGTAGTCTTCTGGAAGTCTTGAAACAGACCCCTACAGCGGGAGAGAGTGGAGCTCAGAGCCATGTTGCTTCCAGTCAGTCAGTGCCCGAGCTGGTGCCAGGCATAGGGGCCGACTTCCCCAGCGTGAGGCACACGGGAGGTGCTCACCGAATGCTTGAGAAGGCAAATGAGTCTGCAGAGAGCAAGGTCAGTGTGCGTGTCTTGCTTGTGTTTCTGCTTCTGTTAGCGTGGCCTGACTTAGGCTTTCTCATCTGAGCTGGTCATCTTTTCTTTCCCTCTCTCCATCCCTCCCTCCCTCTGTCTTGTGGCGCTGAGCCACTCCCCAGCCCTTTTCTTTATCTTAAGGAAATTTTTATTAGTGCATTTTTGCAGTATATGCAGTTTACAGTAATCTTGGGGAATGGGTACATGTACATACTAGAGCTTGTTTCTTTTTTCTCATTGTATTATTTTTGCTGTCCAAATCAGGGTTTCATGTACTTTTTTTTTGGTACTGGGGATCGAATTCAGGTCCTTGTGTTTGCAGGGCAGGCGGCAGAACCACTGAGCTAAATCCCCGGCCCAGTGAGTTTTTTTGTTTTGTTTTGTTTTGTTTTTTCTTTGGTGCCAGGATCAAACTTGGGTCCTTGCACTTGCACAGCAGGCGGCGAAACCACTGAGCTAAATCCCTGGCCCGCTTGTTTCTTTTTTTATCCCCTCCACTTTAAAAAATTTTTTTTGATGCAGGGTCTCACTAAATTGCTAAGTTGCCCAGGTTGGGCTCAAACTTGTGGTCTTCCTGCCTCAGCCTCCCAGACGCATGCGCTACCACATGCAGCTTTATCTTTAAATAACGTTACTGTTCTCAGAGGGGAAAGCAATATTTTCTTCCCAGATCTGTGACAGCTTGTTCTGGTGAGTTGTACCTTCTGAAGCCTTCCCTGCATGTGAAGTAGACCGTACCACAGACCGCCGGGGAATAGCCTCTCCTTTAATCCTCCCTACAACAGCATATTGCTTGGATAATTCCAGCTGCCTAGGGAGGTAGAATGCTAACAGCAAGAGTTGTTGCATTATTTCTGAGCCAGCATGCTGGAAGGGAAGAACGATTCATTGCCGCTCACACAGCTCTTTATTTACATTTGATTTTGGAGTGTATTTTTCTTTGTATTTGAAAGTGCTTGTGCCTGGTGTTCGGTGGAATGTTAATAGGTAGCTATTGTTCATTTACAAAATAGGCTGTGTTCTTTTTGCTCTCTTGGGTAATAAAGGAAACATAGCTCTGTTTGCCATTGTATAGAGTCCTATAGTTAAGTTAGTGACAAACCTGGGGTGTGGTGCTGTCACAGCACCTCCTGGCTGCTCCTGGGAGGGTTCTCTCCATCTCTGGTTCCTTGCTTTGTGTCACTTTTCCAGCTGTGAGCTCTCTTTTCTGTTCTCTGCCTTTCCTGTGTCCCTCAGCTGCCCCGGGCAGCCCTTCTCTCTCTTTTTGTTCAACCCCCGCCCCTTTGTGAGACAGGGTATCACTGTGTGGCCCAGGCCAGCCTTGAACTCATGGCAACCCTTCTGCCTCAGCCTCCCGAGTGCTGGGATTACAGGGGTGTACCACCACACCCAGCAAGCCAGGCTGCATGTTTGCTAGTAGGTGCAATCACACAGAAAAATTCCTGAGACTTGTGTTTTGAAGAGCTGGACAAACCCTAGGTCCCCTGGGGGCAGGAGGGACAGGGATAGACTGCAGGCCAGGGCACCTAAGGAAGGACATCAGAAGGGGCTGGGTCTGATTAGGCTGGAGAAGACATGTCTGAGGGGATGCTTGGTGCCGGCTGAGGGGCCTCTGGAGAGGAAGAGTTAGACATCTCGGAATGTGTGAGGCCGAAGCAGGCTTGGTTGGCAGACCTCACAGAAGCCAGTCTCGGGTCCCAGAAGGAGCTGTCTGCACTGAGGTGGCCCAGCTCCTGCAGAAGGGATGGGCCTCTCACTCTCCGCGTCTGCTGAGGGTCTGTTGTTGGCTCAGGCGTCTGCCTTACGCGTGCGTGTTTAAAAATGCCCACAGTACAGCTGTCTTGAGCAAGGCCCTTGTGTCCCCGAGCCCAGTTTATGGCCATGCACTCTCCTGGTGGGGCCTGGTCTTTGTGGAGGAGGAAACCTCCTTCCTTGGGCATAGGAGATGGCTGTGCACAAGGCCTCCCTCCCACCGCAGGTGTCCGTTTGCTTCCGAGGCCTCAGACGAGTCGGTGGAATCACAGGAGAGTGAGGCACAGACACCCGGGCCGTGGAGGAGACCCAAGGGCAGGCAGGGCAGTCAGAGTGAGGGCACTGCCAGGCCTGTGCGGGTGGGGTACCGGTCAGCGTGGGCCTGAAGCATGTGTGAAAGTCAGGGGCCCTGCCGGAGAGGCTTTGCCAAGGCTGGAATCGGGCCCCTGAGAGGCTGAAAAGCAGAGATGAAGTGACTGCTTTTGGTGGTCATGGTGGTGCTCGCCTGCCATCGCAGCTGCTTGGGAGGCTGAGGCAGGAGGGTCACAAGTTCAAGGCCAGTGTGGGCAACTTAGTGAGATCCTGTCTTAAATTAAAAAATTAATAAAAAGGGCTGGGCATGTGGCTCAGAACTAGAATGCTTGTCTAGCATGTACAAGGCCCTAGTTCAATCCCCAGCACGGCAGAAAACCAAAACAAACCAAAAAAAAAACCAGATGAAGAAAAAAGATGGTTGTTTCCATGTGTGGTGTAGGGACAAGTGTGGCTTAGTGTGTGTTGGGGCAGGGGAGAGAGGGGCTGGCTCCTGAGTGCTGTTTGCACTACAGAAAGAGCCAGGTGCCTCCTTCCTCTCTCTTACATGCTGCGGTCACTGGGCACCCCAAATAGTAGCTCCTCGAGAGGGTACTTTCTGCAGAAGGGAAGTAGAAGTACCCGGCACTGCAGGGAGCTGACTTCTGTCCACCTTCCTGGTCAGAGCCCTTTGCTGGACCCTGAATCAGGCTTCCCAGTGGGCTCACGTTGCACGGGGAGCCTGCGGTCTCGGTGGGGACAGATGGCCTAACAGAGCGGAGGCCGAGTTGGTCCTCTGCAGAAGCAGGGCCAAGGTGCCAGTGCCCTGGGCTGCAGGGAGGCCCTGTGTAAGGAAACTGTTCGGTTTCAGGTCCCTCTCACACTGTGGGAGTCAGAGGTAACTGCCATGCCAGAAAAGAAACAGACTTAAGTCATGTAGCTCCTCTTATTAAGATTTTAAATTAGTCTTCCTCCCACTATTAGAAAGCACATCAGATTGGAGAACCCTCAGAGTGTTGTTTTAGAGAACAGCGACACTGTCTACGACCGCACCACCCAGAACGTGCCCGATCTCTCTGATCTCGGCAGCTAAGCAGGCTCGGGCCTGGTTAGTACTTGGATGGAGAAAAGCGATACTGAGGAAACCACTTTTTTGCAGCAGTACTGGGATTGAACTCAGGGTCTTTGTACTGAGCTATGTCCCATCCCTATTTTGACACAGGGTCTTGCTAAGTTGCCCAGGCTGGGCTCAAACTTGCACTCCTCCTGTCTCAGCCTCCCAGAGTGCTGGGATTCCAGATGTGCACCTTCTAGAAATCACATTCCTTAGTCTCTCTTCTCAGGCCATCAAAATAGGCCTTGCAGTTAAGTAAGCAAGCAGTAACAAGCATCTCTCATGAAGGGAGAGTGGAGAACGGTCCTCTCTCTCCATGTTCTCCACTCGCCGGCTGCCCAGCCGAGACCCTGAAGCAGCGAGGTGTTCTGGCCAGGGGCTGTCTTCCCAGAGTGCTCTTCCCAGACGGGACCTCAGCTGCACTCTGGACCCCTGTCCCAGCCCACAGACCCTCCAGCTCTCCTGACAGGGTGTCAGCGTTGGTCAGGTACAGCAGCTGGGGCTGTGGATGTTTCCCTCATCTCAAAGTGACAGCGACACCAGCGCCCCCCCGCCCCATCCACGGGCTTGATTGTGATTCTGCCCTCTTGGAACCTAGCTTTGTCCCTAGCAGAGCCATTGTTTGGTGTCTGCTTTGGGGCAGTCACAGGCTCCTGCCATTCACACTTGCAAAGTTTGATCCATCCAGCTGCCTTTCACTCTGGAGAAAACCAGACCTGCTACTTCCAGGTGTGGGGCCTGTCCACCTGGGGAGCCTTTACTTTCTCACCAGCAGATGTCCTGTCTGCACCTGCCTTCTCTTCTTTCTTCCTCCTAATGATTCTTTTAAAAATTCTAATATTTATTTGACTGAACATCTCTTCCCTACCACCTCCTTTCTCTACCTTCTTTTCCTCCACTTCTTCCTTGCAGCGAGCTGAGCAGCAGTGGTATACAGAGCCGTTAGAACAGGGCTGGTTGAGCATCCAAAAAATCAGAAATGCTCTGACATGTCAAGAATTTCTAGCATTGGTGAAGTTGATGCAGATACTCCAAAATCTGAAAAACTGAAATGAGAAGCTCTTGTGTTCCAGGCTCTCAGCCTGTATACCACACTGATTCTGTGTGACATCAGCCCCTTTGAAAAGGTCCCTTCTTGGGGGCCGGGGATTTAGCCCAGTGGTTCTGTCACCTGCCTCGCAAGCGCAAGGACACGAGTTCGATCCCCGGTACCAAAAAAAAAAGGTCCCTTCTAGAACCACGCCTTCCCAGGTGTTTGCAAAGTGTGCAGAGGCCATGCAGCAGGCTGTTCCCATGAGTACTGAGAAGCCCCTGGGAGCTCGCTTAGCAGAGGTCGCACACTCATGACACACCAAGATAATGTGTGACAGGAAAAATGGTGGCTGGGTATTTCTGAGCCCCTACTCTATGTATAACTGAAAAAAGCAGCAAATGGGGAGAAGTGGTGATAGCACTTGGCAGTTCTTTTCCTGCATTTTCTTTTGTCACTTAGGTGGCGGAAGTTCATCCTCTAGTAGTTTATTCGAGGAGAGTTTGTGGAGCTGTATTCCCAAGTTCTTGGGAAACCATTGTAGTGTTAACACTGGAACAGCAGTTAGCTGAGTATAGTTAGTGGAATAGCTTGAGTTGCCCTTCCTATTTCTAAGGACATTTTAATACTTTTTTCACCTTCTGTGTGGTACCTCTTTGCCACATAGCCCATGTCTTCCGTTTTAACCAAGAAAGCATCATTTGTGCACATTTACTGGACTCATTCCTCTGTTTCTCCTCAGCTAGATTTCTGAAGATCATCTCCGATTTTCTCAGCACATTTTGGCTGCTGCTCTGTGAGGCCCTCATTGCAGTGAGAACCAGTGAGTTTGGGGTGCCCTCCAGCTGAGCACCCCAATTGTGTTTCTCCCTCCAGGTTACCAACATCAAGAAGACGCTGAAGGCCACCGCATCCTCCTCGGCTCAGGAAATGGAGCAGCAGCTGGCCGAGCGGGAGTGCCCACCACATGTGGAGCAGAGGCAGCCCACCAAGAAGATGTCCAAAGTGAAAGGTCTGGTCTCCAGCCGCCACTAGGGCCAGCCGGGGCAGCTGGCACTCACCAGGCCTGGGTCCGGTGGGGAGGGCCACCGTGGGCTGTTTCCTCCCCTCTACCTGCAATGAGTTCCAGACCTGCCCACGCCTCACCAGCGCACCCCACCCATGGGCACTGTTCCGGGAAACCATTGCCCCCCACGCCCTCCTATCCTGGTCCCTTCAGACTCAGGGGCTCCACGGATGCCATCCTTACCGGGCGGGCACTGCTGTCCCCTCCAGGAGGACCTTCCTCTGTGTGTGAGGCTGGTCTCCCTCCTGGTCATTGTTTTGCTCTGTGTCCTTTGGTCGGGCTGGTGCTGAGCTGGGGCGCCTTTAACCAGCCCATGGGGATGAGCACACCGGGCTCTCCCTGCGCCAGGAGGGGCTTCTCCACCTGTCCGCGTACTCAGTTTCCACCATGGAGCAGGCGCCCTCTGGCCAGGCACCCACTTGCCCTGCTTCCCTCTCTGCCTTTCCCTACTGGCAGTTCCAGTCCATGCAGAGGGATGTGGTGCTGGGCTGTTTACTAAACCTGCGGGTTTTCAGCCTCTTGAGCCCAGCTCAATCCCTTGCTAGTGGCCGCGGGTTGGCCGACCTGTGTCTGAGCGGACGGAGGCTGCTGTGTGTCCCCCGTGTGCTCTGGTAGCGCGCATCCTGCTCCCTCTGACTGCTCAGCCTCCTGTGGTCGTGGGTCCCCTGCCCCGGCCAGGCTGTCAGTGTGCTCCCAGGGTCTTAGGCTCCGGCTGCCCCTGGGCAGGGATGGTGAAAGACTCGCTGCTTCTGTCTCTTCCCTCTGCCCTCCTTGGCTGGTGACCCAGAGCCCTGATGACCATGTACTCCTGGCCAGAGAAAGGACTTGACTAGACTTTCTAAACTTGAACAGTTTCAGGTTATATTTTAATTTTTTTTTGTACAGGTTGATTCTAATACATTTCAACATGCTTTTTCCCCCCTTGTGTCAATATTTGTTACAGACTAATCGCCGGGGATTTTTCACCTGGTTGGAGGGTGGCATGTGTGTATGTGTGTGCGTTTTCTTTTGTTTTTATAAGGGGAGGTAGAGGTCCTGGACTGAATTAAAGTTCATTGAGGAAAAAGCACATTTTAGAACAAAAAATAAAAGTGTAGATTTGATCTATGTGACTGTGGAGTGTGGGGCTGCATAGCTGGTGGGAGTGGGCGGGGAGCAAGGTGGTTTAGGGAACCGTCATGCTATCAATACTGTGTTTGAAAAGTGGGCTTTTCCTTTTTTGAAAGTGTTCAGTAGCTGCCTGCCACTGATTGAATGTTTAAAGTATTCTTGTTTCTCTTCCACATGGCTCATGTGGCTGTTCTAACACCATGGCCAGGAGAGTTAAATTTAATTCCCAAAATATGTTTCATGAATCCTCTGGTCAGATGCTCTATGGAAAAGGGGTCCTGTTATTAAATAAAAGTGGCGCTCGCTCCCTGTAAGCCATTCCTCATTGGAAGTTCGTTATTAAGGTCTCCAGAAAGCCTTGGGGGAGGAAGCCTGTGTCCACACTGATTTCTCCACCAGCTCCTCTGCTGTAAGACTTAGACACGTTTTGGGGGAAGTTCTGGGAAATGTGTATTTCTCATAAACCCCAAGAGAGGCTGAACATCTCCCAGCCTCATGAACTGTTCTTTGTAGGCCCAAGGCAGGCACAGTCCCTCTCGGCAAGCTGCCTGTCATCCTTGTTACATCCCTTGGTGAGCAGAAGAACGTGGCTCGGCCTGTGTGCTGTGCATGGCCATTTGTTGTTTGCCCGCCCCAAGGGCCTAACAAGCCTTGGGGTCATTTTCTCCACTGTGCTGCCGTTTCCTTGAAGATAATGGTGACAGTAGCAGCACATTGGCAAAGTACTTTACAGAGGGTCTCCGTGTGCAGTCATTCGCCCAGTCTCTGGGGCTCGGTAAGGTGAGTGCTATTACCATCTTCCTTTCTACCTGTGAGGAAACACAGACTCAGAGCTGAAAAGTCCAGATGACCGTGACAAAATAAGGACTCTCAGATCCTGACTTGCATGTCTTGCCATCTGCTTGGTGCGACTAGTTTCGAGGCTGTTCTCGGGCAGATCCTTGTTGCCTCACCCTCTGCTTATCCTCCGAGGGCTCCACTTTCTTTCACGTGAGCTCCCCTCCCCCTCCCCCGACGCACACCCATCTCGGCCTCTGCTTCCCAGACTCATCTGCTTGATAAGGACGTGGAGAGCATGGGGCAGGGGCTTCTGGCGTTTCGGGACAGTGGCCCAGGTGGAATGCTCTTTGCTCCCTTGGGACTGGTGTAGCAGAGCCCTGGCCCCAGCTGTATGGCTCCCACCCGACATGGACCCGTGAGCTCAGGTCTGAGATAGGGCCCGACCGTGCCGCTTTAGAAGTGACCTCCTTGGGCCGGGGAATTAGCTCAGTGGTTCCAGCACCTGCATTGCAAGCGCAAGGTCCCAAGTTCAATCCTCAGTACCAAAAAAAAAAGTGACCTCCTCAACAGTGAACGCCCTAGGTGCAGAAAGGGGCACTGCCGTGTAAACAGAGCCTGCCGGGTAAGTGCCTGTGGGCCGACCTGGGCCACTCTCTTCAGTGCACATTGGCATTCATCGGCGGGAATTGGCATGAGTACACCTTATGCTTTCGCCCTTTTTCCTTCTCCAGGCCGTTTCCATGGCCTGTACTTCTGCCTTCTGAAGCCCCTTCTGCTCTGTACTCTTTCAGCCAGGGTGGGCAACCTGGGGCAGTGGTCAAGAGTACAGGCTTTTCTGTCTCCAATCCCAGATCTGAGAAGGCCGCCACTGACGGCAGGGCTCCCCTGTCCTCCCAGACTTCGGTTACAGGAAGTGGGGTGATGATCAAAGAAGCAGAGGGCAAACTGCACATGGTGCTGCATGCATAGCTGAGGTGCTGGGTTGCCTGAAACCAAGCCAAGCATTCCAGTTTTTATACTTAAAGTCATTATTCTAACAGCCTGATGCTTCAAATTTTTTTTAAAAATGCAGCAGGTGGTTGGTTTTTACCGGTCCCGAAGAGCCTGTTGCCGTACTCCTGGTGTGTGTGTCAGGTGCAGCACGTGTGGGTAGTCGGGCTCAACCTGTGTGCAGCCATGAGCACTTGTTTCCTCAGTAAGCCTTGCAGTTATGCCTGAGGTGGTAGGCTGAAATATGTATCTTATTGTAACTTGCTTTTTGCAACTCCTTTATATCAGCCTTAGGGAAGTAAGTGGATCTTTAAGCCTAATGTCGCCAAGTAGGTTGTCTGTGCCCTGACCTTGTGACACTAGATGGATGGTAACAAAGCTATAAAAAGGGAGGATTGGGTCTGACTATCGGGGCTAGAGCTACATCTTCCTTAAGAATGGGACTGGCGGGCTGGGGATTTAGCTCAGTGGTTTCACCACCTGCTGCACAAGCACAAGGACCCAAGTTCGATCCCCGGTACCAAAAAAAAAAAAGAATGGAGGGCTGGGGATTTAGCTCAGTGGTTCCGGCGCCTGCCTCACAAGCGCAAGGTCCCGAGTTCGATCCCCGGTACCAAAAAAAAGTAAAACTTCACAGGAGAATGATGCAGGGGCCTTCCCTGCAAGGTCCAGGAATAAATAGAAACCTTCAGTATAAAAAAGGACCCATGCCAGCCCTTTTAAAACTCCTTCCCTCCACAGACACTTCATTTCTTGGGTAGATTCTAAAAGTGGGTTCTCCAAGCCCTTAGAAGAACCTCTAGTGCTTTCCGAGGAGATGAGATGGGAAGAGATTCAATTGTGGATCGACCTTGCCTGCCACCTCACCTGTGGGCAGAGAAGGACAGGAGATGACGGGGCGTGACTTCTCAGCAACCATGAGTTTACAGCCAACATCTAGACAACGAAGGATGAGAAAGACTTGTCCATCTTCCCCACAGTCACATAGACACCCAAGTCAAGATCGACTACACAAGCCAAGAGAAGCTGCTCGCAAGGCAGGCTGGGGCCGGACCTGAGATAAGGGAGAAGAGTGAATTCCGGCAGTGGCACGGAAAGGCTCCAAGGTAAAGCCACTGAATTCAGAACATTTCCCCACGTGTAACGAGGCCTGAGAAATACTCAAAAGTGACAGCTCTGTGCTCTTCCATCATAGTCCAGTCACTTCCTGACGACTAGTGAGCCAGAAGGGATAGATGGGAGCGAATACAGGTAAAGTGGAAACTACCTGAGCACTGGAAGGCCTCCAGCAGGAACAGTGCCCCAAGACCTTAAATCATCAGACCCTAAAAATCAGCCTTCATGAAGTGAAGTTTGAAATGGAGAGCAGGGAGCTAGCCGGACTCAGGGCCTTCCCACTGGCTCATCCCTTGCGTCCCCTTAACTCGACATCTGGACACGGCAGCTTCCCAGGAGACACGCATCCATGGGGAGAAAGGTGGGCACGGAGCAGGGGCAGGAGCTCCGGGTCCCTGTGCAGGTCTTCCCCAAGTGCCTGACTTTCCCTTCAGCTGCGAGCAGAGCTTGGGGGAGGGGATACCGGCCCAGAGTACTGTTGCATGGTCTACTGCTCACCACGCAGCTCAGGCTGACCTTGAACTCACCATGTGGCCCTCCTGCCTCAGCCTCCCAAGTGCTGGGATTACAAGTGAACTACCATGCCCAACCATTTCCCTATTTAAACAGAAAATGGTTCTCCAGAATTTCCAAGAGGAATAGTTTCTTCCTCCAAAGGAGTGTTTCTTGTTGAGAATGATTGCCCCCAATAAATGTTCTAATAAAGAAAAACAAATGGAAAACTAAGAAAGCTTTTAGTTGAGCTCTATTAGCAAAATCCAACAAACTCTCTTAGTCTTATGAATATAGATGAAAATAATTTTATAAAATTAGACACATAAGGGTCGGTCACATGAATTAGGCACATCACCCTAAACTAAGAAGAATGCTTCCTTGCCATGATAAAAATGCCAGTGTATTTAAATCCAGTGACTAAGTGGTGATTTCAGTAAAAACGCCACTGCCTTCCCACTCAAGTGGCTTGTGTGACATGCCCCTGGTGCAGAACATGTTAAGCCTGGCCAGTGACACAGCTGATGGCTCTGGCAAGAAGAGCTCTCCCACGGGACTGCTGCTGTCCCAGCTGTCATGCCACCCACCTGCTCCTGGGCCTCGTGCGTGTCCTCTGCGTGTCCCCCCCCCACCGCCGCCCATCCGCCTGGCAAACAGCACAAAACCTGCCTCTGCCCACCCATTGCCCAGTGAGCCACACCTTGTTCTGCTCATGCTTGTTACCCTGAGCAGCCTCCCCTTGCCCCGTGTCCCACAGGAACAGCAGCAGCCAGTTTGCACCGGGGTGGGAGCAGGGTGGCTTCTGCAATTCAGATTCCCAGTTGGCCGATGTCAGGGCTCACTCTAGGCATTGCCAGAACATCCTGTCATTGCCAGAGTTGTTTGTTAGAGTCTTGGCTCTCCATGGGTGGCCCGGGTGGATTTAGGCCTGGCAGATAGGACAGCTGGTTCACGGGCACTTACTATGGAGAAGGAACAGGTTAGACATAGGTTAGACATGCCCTGGGAGCTCCCTGGACCTCACAATTCTGCAATATAAGAAGTGTGGATTGGGTGTGGTAGTGTGCACCTCTAATCCCAGCCCTCGGGAGGATGAGGCAGGAGGATCAATGCAAGTTGAGGTCAGCCTGGACCACATAGTGAGACCCTCTCTCAAAAAAAAAAAAAAAAAAAGCTATGGCTCAGCTGGAGCTTCCAGTCTTACTGCTTAGGAAACAAGTTCTGATCTGCTGTGTGGTGAGCTTGCCTGGCCCAGCCCATAGCCACTCTCCTGTGGGGTCTGGTTTATGTGTGTTACTGGGGAATGAACAGGACCTTCATGTTAGACTGTAACCCAACCCGTTTAAAAAACATTTTGGACAGAGTCTTGCTAAGTTGCCTGGGCTGGACTCGAACTTGTAATCCTTCTGCCTCAGCCTCCCAGAGTGTTGGGATTACAGGTGTGCACCACCGTGCCCAGCTTCACCTGTGGGATTTGAAGTTCAGGCATTGCTCTACCTCTGCGGACCTGGGATGGCCGAGATCCAGCCCAGATTCTGGACTTGTGACTAGATATGGGTCGGCAGCTCCATCAAGCTATTCATGCATTTCTTTGCTTTGTTACTATATTGTGAAACCTTCCCGTGTGGTACTTTTAAAACATCTCCAAATCTTGAGCACTCCCACAAAAGGCACAGCCCAATTTCCCTCCCCTCAAGTAAGGGCCTGCCTCATGACACACTTCTGTTGAGGAGAATGTGGCAGAGCAACAGTGAGTGACATGAAGCTAGATTAGAAAAGACACTGAGGTGTTCACCTCACTTCGTCTTTCCTGGGTCACGGCCGTTGGTTCTCTGGGCTTCACTGTAAGAAGCGCGGTGTGGCTGAAGCTGCCTTGCTGGAGGGCAGGGGGACAAGAGAGGGTACCAGAGTCTTCACAGTGCCACCGTCACACATGCACA